GCTTTTGAAGTGTGGGTAGTGTTTTGTGGGGGGGAGAGTTGTAGTATGTGTGCAAAAACATGTTGGTGTAGCTGGAGGGTGGGGAGGGGGACAAAAACACTGCCTTACAGCCTGTATAATACAGTACAAGATATTCCTTTGGTTGTTTATTGTAATTACCAGATAATTGTATAAGGAATATTTCTGGTGACATTAGAGATATGTTGGTTTGGGCTGTGAATGTACTATTGGCTGAGAACCTCGATGATTTGCAATGAATGTTAAAAGGGTACGTGCGAAATATGGTTTTGAAAATTAACATATTGAAGACTGAGATAGTGGTCTTTGCATGTTATATATAAATGGCAAAAAATGAGCAGATAGATGAACTGTATCTTGGTACAACGTTTACTAAATATTAGGAAATAGAATTTTAAGATTTGGTATAAAGGTAGTGGGTAATACACAGTGTTAAAAAAGCAAAAACAGCTTTAAATGTCTCCTTCTGCCTCCTTTGTTATATGGAAGCTAGAGATAGATAAAAGTAAGCTGACTGCGGTGGGAATGAGTACTGTACTTAAGTATGTGTGGTTAAAAAGAGGGGGGTCCAGAATGAATGGGCACTGAAGGCGTGTGGACTGAACAGAAAATTGAATGGCCAATATGAAAGAAGAACCTTGAGGTGGTGTATTGTGTAGCGAAAGTGAAGAGGATCAAATTACAGACCAGGTCTATAACGGAAGAAAAAGTGGTTTGAGGCAAAGGGGAAGAGTCGGAAGGTTGTGATTCAACACAGTTGATGAACTCCTTCAAAGAGAGTTGAGATGTTTAAAGAATGAAAGAATTAGATGATGTGGTGGAAGCAGGGACGGTTTGTGAAGATCGAAAAGCGCAAAGGAATAAAGTGAGTAGCGTTAACTAGTTTTCGCCGTGTTTTCTTTTTTGTGCCTTTAATTTCCTTGGCTTGCTAACTCCTTTCCTGCGCGATGCACAATGTTACTGACCCCAAAGGGCATAGCATATCAGCACGTGGGAACACAGCAGAATCTGGTGGGGCTTGGTCTCTGGGAGCGTCCGCAAGTACAGTGGTGCCTGCAGGCACTGCTCTGGGCCTCTCGGCCTTGGTGGACCTTTTCCTAGGGTCCCCGCACTGCTTCGGTCAGGAAATTTACCTGGGGCTTGCCAAGGAGAGTAACTTTACACGGATGGAAAGAAGCTTTTTCTCCTGATGTTAAGGGATAGATTAAAGATAGGGATTTGTTATCCATTTTTGAAATGTCTTTTAAATTGTGAAAATGAAAGGATGGAACAATACTGATTTGTTTATCAAATTTGTGTAGCCGCCCATCTCACAGAAAAGTGACTCTGGGCGGCATACAACACTTAATTAAAAAAACCAATAAACATATTAAAAAACTTTCATTGTGAAAAACTATGAAAAACACAAGAACAGGAGAGGATGATGTTAGCCACAGTAAGGGAGCCATTGCACGATCTCCCTGGTCCCCTGGGACCCCCAGGCCTGAAGGCACAGCCAGGAATGTTGAAAGGGATAGAGCTGACCTCACTTCTGGGGGGAGAAGGTTCCACAAGGCGGGCGCCACGGCAGAGAAGTCCCGCCTCCTGGGACCCACCAAGTGTGGTTCCCTGACAGACAGGACCTGCAGCACGCCTTCTCTGCCAGATCTGGTGGGATGAGCAGGTATAATGGAGGGGAGAGGGGGTCCCTCGGATAACCTGGCCCCAGGCCATGGAGCCCTTCACCAGCACCTTGAATTGGACCCAGAAGCAAACCGGCAATTGATGCAGCTTGCGGAGCAGAGGTGTAACGTAGGCCACGTGGTCTGCGTTTGGTGATAAGTTTAAGGACTGAATTAATCTTATGTTGATACTACCACGGATCTTATTTGTCTTTTTCTTAGTTTGTTTTTTCCCCTCTAGGTTTAGTTAATCACTGTAGTTATTGTAGGGGTTTTTTAAAACTCTATAATCACTGATGTGTTATTTTGTTTGTTATACTTCACTAATTGCTTTGGGGAGAGCCAGTTTGATGTTAAGGCGCCAGACTAGAAACCGGGAAACCCTGAGTTCTAGTTCCACCTTAGGCACAAAGCCAGCTGGGTGACCTTGGGCCAGTCCCTCTCTCTCAACCCCAGGAAGGAGGCAAGGGCACATCACTTCTGAACGCTTGCCAAGAAAACTGCAGGGACTGGTCCAGGCAATCGCCAGGAGTCAAGACTGACTGGAAGGCACAAAAAAAAAAAGCTGAGGGGGAGCCTTCAGTCAGGAGCTGTGTTGGGAGTGCCAAAGAAAAAAATAAGTAGTCCTCCAGTCCTGATTCCTTTTCATCAGGCACAAGCATGTTGCCATTCATCCATCAGCACTTGGCATTCAGAGATGTGCCTCAGCCAGAAATGGGAAGAAAAGTGGTGAATTCCCTCCAGTGCTAGGTGTCAGTAGTGCTCAGCCAGGTTTATAGTTGTGCCTGAAATGCAGACCGTGTTGGATTCCATCTCCAGGACAATGGGTCGCCTTTGGGATGTTCTGCTGTGCCATTCCAGATGAGCCACAGTGCAAGAGAACCCCAACTCTGAATGTTTTTGTTGTCACAGATTTGGGACCAGATGAGGCAAACAGGGCAAGGGTAGTGTGCATTGTCCCCTGTCTCCTCCACAGCTCACAGTGGAGCCTGTCTCATGGCCTGCCTACCCTTCTGTCTTCCTGAAGCCCCTCCCTCCCTCAGCTGTCAGCAAGGCACACTGCAGCTTATCCTACCTGCCTGCCCCTTACTTTCCCAGCACTCAGCTGATATCTAACCTGCATCCCCCTTCCTAGCACCTCTTTGGCCTCCTCTGCCTCCCCCAGACATCCTCAGCTTTTTTCCTTTCCCTCTGGTTATCATTCTGTGCATGGGCCGGAACACCTGAAGCAGATTTATTTCGGGTTTGAGCTCAGGCCATGCAAAACCACCTGTTTCATTTACAGAACAATTCATGCCCCAAATGTTTTGCACATCCCTAGAGAGCTTCTAAAGCTCAATAAGAGATCTCTGTGGGGCTGTGCATGCTGAGCCATGAGTACAATTTTTGGTCTCCAGCAAGCCAACATTTGTGGATCAGTGATTGGGGACAGGCAGAGGGAGAGGACTGTTACCTTCAAGCATTGCCTGTCAGCTTGGTGAAGGCATCTAGCTGCTGTTGTTGGACTAGATGGGTCTCATCTGACAGGCTCCTTTTTTGCTGTTTGGACTTTTGCTCAAATGTCCAGATATATCAAATATTTTTTGTATATGAACCTAGAAGCTGTCAATCTTTGCAGGCAAAGCAACTATTTCTAATGACGGTGCCACCATACTGAAGCTTCTCGATGTGGTCCACCCTGCTGCAAAGACCCTCGTAGACATTGCCAAGTCCCAGGATGCAGAGGTAGGCCTGGGAAGGGTGAAGGAAGGTGAGGGGGGTGTTCTGATCTTGTAGAGGCCATTCCAGGGGCTTCCCTGAAGGCCTCTGCAAAGTGAAAGAGGTGCTATACGGAGAGACAGTGGAGACGCTCAAATTCATTATCTCTTCAGATGGCAGAAGTGGAGTAATACTGTTTGGTAGCACTAGAGTGGAACTGAGGAATTGATGCTTCACTTGACCCCTGGATAGGACTCCTGGGTACTAAGAACCCTGGTCTTGAGGGAGGGAGTATCTGCCCCAGAGGGGATTCTCAGGTCCTTCTGGTGAAGTTCTGAATCCAAAGGTCTGCTCCTGTAGGGGAGGATTTGGGAATATGTGATGAATTTTGGTGTGGTCTTGGGTGGGTGCATCTGAAAGGAAGAAATAAGGAGGTGTAGGCACTTACATACTTAGCTTCTTTTCTCTTAGTCAAAAGTCCTTTCTTTTCAGGTTGGTGATGGTACCACTTCAGTTACTCTCCTGGCTGCTGAATTCCTAAAGCAAGTCAAGCCGTACGTGGAAGAAGGCCTGCACCCCCAGATCATCATCCGTGCCTTCCGCACAGCAACGCAGCTGGTGAGCTGAAGCTGTGATCCAATTTGCCTCCTTTCCAACTAGAAAACAGTTTGAACTAAGGAACGAAAGAATAAGGAGATTTAGGTAGTCTGGGAAAGTAGAAATGGGATCACTTTGAAATGCAACTGGCTGACTGATCTGTGGAGTCCCGGTAGCTCCTAGATATTTTGCACCAGTACTGTCTACACAGGCCTTGGAGAAGAGTAAATACCTTTCAGGCCACTGTTGTTCCACTTCTGCCCTGGCGCTACATGCTCAGTGAGCAGCAGGTACACTTTTGCATCTGAGAGGACCTGAGAATGAGAAGTCTACAAAAACATTAGCGTTTCATAAAATGGAGAGAAAGTTTTCAGTTGGTATGGAAGAGTACAATCTTTGGGCCCACTATATCCTCCTCAGATGAGCATTCTGTGGGCCAGCCTTCCCTGACTTGGGTGGCCATCAGACAGGTAGATCTTAACTTCCAGAATGCCCAGTGCCCGAGTTAGAGAGCATTGCTATGGTCTCTCTCTTCATGGTATATGTGCTGTTTACAGAGGTGGGAGGTAGTGCCCCTCTTGACGGTGGGGGCAGAAGTCATTGGTGCATTTGAAAATAAGCATAGCTCCTTGGCCAGGAGGATGTGTAATTCCTCCAGCATGGGGGTAGTCTAGTTATTTCGAGAGCAGTGTTTCTCAACCCTGGCCACTTTAAGATGGGTGGACTTCAACTCCCAGAATTCCCCAGCCAGCACAGGGTTTCT